ATCACCGTTTTCTCTAGCGTCAGAATCAGGCTGTCCTCGGACACTGTCTGAAGTCGAGGGGTAATGAGAGACACAACTGCATGATAGGCGGTGAGAAAATGAGATGATGCACTCTTATACTCAATATTCTTATATTCCTGACTTGACATTCAACAAAAATACTCTACACCACACAGCGCTGACTAGTATCAAGCTTCTGATGGTCAGTCTGGATAGCTCAACTGGTTGGCGCGTCAGAGTAATGATCCCCGTGCCAGGGTTTTCAATCCCAGTGGATGCGGTGGATACGCAACGACTGGCGATTTTAAAAAGACTCCAATAGTCATTCGGTGCAGTTCAGTTGGGAGAGACACGTTGATTCTACGTGACGAATGCATCCTCAGGTACATGACGGATCTCGTAAACCAGTACATATTTCAATAACAATTATTAATAAACAGATGAGTTAAATAAATCTGTCTGACTGGGGATCTTGCAATCACAGGGAAGTGGACATATGCCATATTACAACCGTTCGTATACAGCAGCGGCCATCGCACCGTGTCATCTCACGGCAGCTTAGAGAGGACGGTGGCTCATCGAAGGCGAGATCTATCTATGGATACGAACAATTAAAAAAGGGATTGAATGACAATCAAAGTAATGTACCTGAGCCAAATCGGCCAAAGTTTGAGCAGCCAGTTGGCGCACTTGTCGTGCCGGATCCTGCAAGCGTGTGCAAACCCGACGAAACGCATCGTCTACCAGTCGAACCTCGTCCGAATGCGTGTGCAATCGCGACGGTTGTTGTAATTGCAAGCCGGAATAACTNTTGGAACTTTAAGTGGTCCACTAAACCAATTTATCAGGATTAGGCCAACAAGTAGCGTAAACCGACAGTGGATCCCCGTCACTGAGATTTACTCTTTCCAACAGTCACTAAACCAAAAATGTGCAACAAAAAATACTGACAATAATCAATCTATTAAAAAATTTCCGTTTGCGATCATACTACTTAATGACTTGACATTTAGAATCACGGTTCCGATTCATTTGCTTTAAAAACCTCAGTGATCAAATCGCGAATCAGACGACGGGAAAGAACAATAAAAAGGGGACAGATTCCAAACAAAATCGGGAAAGTGAAAAAAAATAACGAAAGAAAAAACGCAGGAAGAAAATGACCAAACAGTGAAGAACAAACAAAAGAATAGTTGAGTAAAGCATAAACTGACCGAAATAATCATCTTCCAAACCGCTGATGATTGCACCGCTAGACCCGGTCGCGATCAGGTTGAGTGTGTTGGACGAGTTCGAACCGGTCGGCGGTCGAGAGGAAGACCATGGTTCCGATCGACCACGATTCCCACCGGTGGATGAACGCTCGAGAATCGAACGCCGAACTTGTCGATCAGACATCACCGTTTTCTCTAGCGTCAGAATCAGGCTGTCCTCGGACACTGTCTGAGCCAAATCGGCCAAAGTTTGAGCAGCCAGTTGGCACACTTGTCGTGCCGGATCCTGCAAGCGTGTGCAAACCCGACGAAACGCAT